TAGTTGTTTATGTGTGAACTCACTGCTCTCCGGCTCCTCCAGCTCGGGGGCCTCCAGCTTGGCTCCCTGCAGCGCGGGATGGACGTACATGTGCGGGGACAGGCTGGTGTCCCCGCGCTCCTCGTCCCGCACCGCCAGCGCGCTCAGGTAGGCCAGGTTGTCCTCCCCATCAGAGAAAGAGGGGCTGTCCCGGGGCCCGGCGAGCATGCAGGACGGCGCGCTGTGGAAATGCTGCTGCTGGGGAGGAGAGCGCGCGAGGTGCTGCTGGCTGTGTGCGCGGTGCGTGATCTCCAGAGAGGCGGACTGCTGCTGCTGCTGCTGCTGCTGCTGCTGCTGCTGCTGCTGCTGCTGCTGCTCCAGCTTCAGGATGTCCTTGACGGAAAACGGCGTGGATGTGAGCGCGCTGTGCAGCATCATGTCCCCCATCAGCTCCAGCTCTGCTGCATCGAGGAAGCGAACACCTCCGAGGAACATGCACGCCCTCCGCGGCCCCACTGCTTCTCCTAAACAGCAGTTCAGGGGAGTTGGGCTAACTGGAGGTGCGTTAAGCCCTGGGAATCCCTCCTCGCCATAAATCGCAGGGAAACATGCTGTTAGCGCCGGCCCGGTCCATGCACGCCTCCTCTCTGACACGATGTGCGCTCCCTGGACCCGGGCGGCGGAGGAGCGCCTCTGGGATGTGTGTGCGTGTGTGCGTGCGTGCGTGTGTGTGTGTGTGAAATGGAAAGTCCGCGAGGGGCCGGAGGGGAAGCTCTGGGAGAGACAGTGAGGTGGGGAGCTCGTGACGTAACTGCACGCACTAACTTTAGTTCTCACGTGAAACTTGGTGTTTGACTAAAACCAGTCAGAGCCCGATCCTCGTGCAAGAAACACTTTTTAACACCGTCCTGTTCGGACTCTGTAGCGCGCGCTGTTCTCGTGAGGGCTCGTGCGTAAAATCTGTGGACTTGCGCGCTGCAGCCAGCGCGTGCCAAGGCCGAGTTCTGCCGTGATTATCACGCAAATCATTTAAACATCATTTCATGGAGACTTGTTCTCTTCTGTTTTACTCTTTTATTAAAGGTCATTTATTGAAAATCACGTGATCCTGGAAACATGAAGCTCTGAAGGAGTTTCAAACCTGCTGAGCCCCCCCCCCCCCCCCCCCCCCACCAACTCTGAGTCCTTCCGGTCCCGCCGGGGCCTGCAGCCTGCTGTCCTCTTTATCTCCACTGTCGCATTAAAAGCCGCACTGGGCCGATAAGCATACACCCCCCCCCCCCCCCCCCCGCCCACCCCCCACAGCAATTAAAATTCCTCTAAGAAAACTGGCAGACGTTTTTAGCTCAGTCTAATCTGCTCTTATCAGCTCCTTTCCGTTTTGATGCTGGACCCCCTCCCCTTTCTCCCCCCTCGTGGACACTCGGCAGGTGGAGGGCACGTTATCAACAGGGGTCACCTTAGTTTCAGGTCACGTGACACTCCTGGGTCAGGCCCTTTGAGTGGTCAGGAGTGAACTTCATTATAGGAGGACTAGATGTTCACCTGCAGAAGCTCTTGGTGCAGACACAAAACCAAACAGGACACAGATCCAGTGATCCAATGTGGAGCAGGGGGTCCAATCCGGGCCCTCAAGGGCCACTATCCTGCAGGTCTGTCCCCTGCTCCAACTGCTGAGTCATGCTTCAAGGACCTGTCATGTTTCACAGAAGCTGGTCATCATGCATCCTGTGCAGGACCAGAACTGGACGGAGCACAGTGTCCTCACAGTTTGTTATAATTCCACAAACGCTTCATGTCACTGTTATAACGCCTAATAATAACACATCTTTCATGATTTAATCTATGAATTATAACGCCTTATGAAAACACATCTTTCATGATTTAATCTATGAATTATAACGCCTTATGATAACACATCTTTCATGATTTAATCTATGAATTATAACGTCTAATAATAACACAACTTTCATGATTTAATCTATGAT